GAAATCATAAATGAGTTGGCAGCTGTTTGTGATGTACTACGGTATTGTGAAATTGTCATGTATTCCGCTGTCTCACTGGAGAAACGGGAAGAGCGATGATTCACGACCTGCAGTCGGAGGTATCTGGAGATTATGGAAAAGCACTGCTGATCTTGGCCGAGGTATAGCACATGAAATTACAGCAGATGACATAACATTCCCAACAAATAAGAACCACAACCACATTGAAATTTACTGCAGTCAGCAGGTGTGTAGTGAGTGTTTATGTTTTAGAAATATACTCTTAAAGCACCTTGATTTCTTCATATCCAAATACTGATTGTAGGAAGAAATGCAGGAAATACAAATAATGTCCTGTGTGAGCTAAATGAGTTGCGCCATTTTTAAGTTACATTGTTTATTTAGAATATTGAATTGTGAGGATATCATTATAGCCTATTTCAAAGTTTCTTTTTTTTCTCTTCGCCTCACAAACCCGTCCTCCCTACAGGGGAAGAGAGATGAGACCACCAGCGTGGATGCTGCCAAAGCAAAAGCTGATGCTAAGGTACACTTTTTTTTACGTTTGGTTCATTTGTGTATAAACACTTGCTTTTCAAACTGAGGTAACTTTTGTGTTACTGCAGTACAAACATTTTAAATAGCAGCTTTCTCTTTCACATTTTTAGGTTAATTCATTCAGAGTTTGGTGGCATCGCTCATCTCAGCTAACGCACCTTGCTGGGTGATGCAAGTTTCAACCTGCACCTATGTTGAAAGCATGTTGAAATTTTCTCATGTTGGATTCAGTTAATCTAGTGTGCTTGCGTTGAACTTTGACTCTGTGTGTTTTTCTTTTTTACTTTTTCTTTTTTTAGTGTAGTCCAACAATATTATACTCATACCTTTTCTGAATCCATGCAGGCCTTGTATGAAGCAGGAGAGAAGAAGTGGGGAACCGACGAGGGGAAGTTTATTGACATCCTGTGCCACAGAAGTGTTCCCCAGCTCAGGCAAAGTGGGTTGATCCCTGACCTATCATTCATCCTGTGGATAAATAGCATCTTAGAAATAGTACTAAGAGTTTACAGCCGTGCTTGCAACTCTCTGAGGCTGTTTATCAAGAGCAACATGCTAACATGCTCACCTTGACAGTGCAAGTATGCCATTTAAAACTAAGAAAGCTAAGGCTGATGGAAGCGTATTTGGTTAGTAGATTTTTAGTCAAATGCCATGGTGACACTAAAAGGCATTTAATCAGGATTTATTCTCACTGACACCTGATCAAAAACATTATACATAGACTCCATTAGTTGAGGCAGTATCTATGTGATCAAGTTCAAGACACAAAAACCCAAAGATGCAATCTCATGATGGTGCAATAAGCAAAGTCATTCATCTTCTGTGGGCTCTTGAAGTGAACTTATGCTTCTTTTTTTTTTTTTTTTTTTTTTTTTCTGCTTTGGGATGCTCTAATTGGTTTGTTTCAGACACTTTTTTCTAATTCTTGGCTTTGTATTATGCTAGTGAGAGGGGATATTCTTATTCATTCAGGGCCATCTAAGGTACTTGCTGTCACCACAGCAGATCCAGACAGTTTAAACTTTGTACAGGGAGTGCAGAATTATTAGGCAAGTTGTATTTTTGAGGAATAATTTTATTATTGAACAACAACCATGTTCTCAATGAACCCAAAAAACTCATTAATATCAAAGCTGAATGTTTTTGGAAGTAGTTTTTAGTTTTAGCTATTTTAGGGGGATATCTGTGTGTGCAGGTGACTATTACTGTGCATAATTATTAGGCAACTTAACAAAAAACAAATATATACCCATTTCAATTATTTATTTTTACCAGTGAAACCAATATAACATCTCCACATTCACAAATATACATTTCTGACATTCAAAAACAAAACAAAAACAAATCAGTGACCAATATAGCCACCTTTCTTTGCAAGGACACTCAAAAGCCTGCCATCCATGGATTCTGTCAGTGTTTTGATCTGTTCACCATCAACATTGCGTGCAGCAGCAACCACAGCCTCCCAGACACTGTTCAGAGAGGTGTACTGTTTTCCCTCCTTGTAAATCTCACATTTGATGATGGACCACAGGTTCTCAATGGGGTTCAGATCAGGTGAACAAGGTGGCCATGTCATTAGTTTTTCTTCTTTTATACCCTTTCTTGCCAGCCACGCTGTGGAGTACTTGGACGCGTGTGATGAAGCATTGTCCTGCATGAAAATCATGTTTTTCTTGAAGGATGCAGACTTCTTCCTGTACCACTGCTTGAAGAAGGTGTCTTCCAGAAACTGGCAGTAGGACTGGGAGTTGAGCTTGACTCCATCCTCAACCCGAAAAGGCCCCACAAGCTCATCTTTGATGATACCAGCCCAAACCAGTACTCCACCTCCACCTTGCTGGCGTCTGAGTCGGACTGGAGCTCTCTGCCCTTTACCAATCCAGCCAGGGGCACATCCATCTGGCCCATCAAGACTCACTCTCATTTCATCAGTCCATAAAACCTTAGAAAAACCAGTCTTGAGATATTTCTTGGCCCAGTCTTGACGTTTCAGCTTGTGTGTCTTGTTCAGTGGTGGTCGTCTTTCAGCCTTTCTTACCATGGCCATGTCTCTGAGTATTGCACACCTTGTGCTTTTGGGCACTCCAGTGATGTTGCAGCTCTGAAATATGGCCAAACTGGTGGCAAGTGGCATCTTGGCAGCTGCACGCTTGACTTTTCTCAGTTCATGGGCAGTTATTTTGCGCCTTGGTTTTTCCACACGCTTCTTGCGACCCTGTTGACTATTTTGAATGAAACGCTTGATTGTTCGATGATCACGCTTCAGAAGCTTTGCAATTTTGAGACTGCTGCATCCCTCTGCAAGATATCTCACTATTTTTGACTTTTCTGAGCCTGTCAAGTCCTTCTTTTGACCCATTTTGCCAAAGGAAAGGGCGTTGCCTAATAATTATGCACACCTGATATAGGGTGTTGATGTCATTAGACCACACCCCTTCTCATTACAGAGATGCACATCACCTAATATGCTTAATTGGTAGTAGGCTTTCGAGCCTATACAGCTTGGAGTAAGACAACATGCATGAAGAGGATGATGTGGACAAAATACTCATTTGCCTAATAATTCTGCACTCCCTGTATTAACATGGCACTGTTGGTCAGAAGAAAGCTGGCTTAAAGAAATTGCTTGTTTCAGACAGGCAATGAACCGAGGAGCTCCACAAAAGCTCATTTTAAACTGAATCACGAAAATGGGCTGTGATGAACCTACCAGCAGATACGCATCCCACTGTGAACCGCTACCAAATTGGCAAAAAATAAAAGTATATTACAAGTTCAATGTGAGAAAAATAATCTCAGCTCAATGTATTTTGGCAGCTCTGATTGAGTACAAGAATATTAGCAAGAAGACTCTGCAGGAGAGCATTAAGAGCGAGATGTCTGGAAACCTGGAGAAACTACTTGTGGCTGTTGGTGAGCAAAATATTACATCACTGCCTTGTTGTTATCGATGTCTTCCTTGTCTGAGCATTTAAGTTAATTTAAAAATAATATATGAACTCATTTCTTTTAGTTAAGTGTGTGCAGAACGTCCCAGCATACCTCGCTGAGAGGCTTTTCAAGAGCATGAAGGTGAGTTGTGCAACTGGTCAGTTTGTCCATCTGTGTCATGATGGCCTTTCTAAACCTCTATGCACATCAGAAATGTCTGCCCAGCAAAATTCACATTCTGTATGGTTGCATCATACCCTTTCAGTCACAGCAGACTGTATTGGTCACCAGTGATGTGGAAAGGAATGCTGACCACATTTTACTGTTAGTGATTTGACCAGCACAGCCAACACTGGCTGAAATGTGTCAACAGTCTGAATAAGGAAGCGTAGCCTAACTTTTGACAGTAGTATTGCAAAAAAAATAACAAAACCCCCCCCCTGCATCTTCACATGTGTAAAAGGCCTGCGAGCCAAATGTGGCCCTTTGTAGATTTCAATCGGGCCTGCATATAAATGTCTATAAATTATGGGAAATCTGGTCATAACTATCTGCATAGCATGTCTGTCTGTGCACATGCCAAACCAAACGCACTAGTGCAGCATCACTGCAATGTAAAACCAGAAGTCTGCATAGTAACAAGCTACATCATTGAGTTCATGCCCATGTCAGACAGAAATATGAACAAATTTTAACTTTCATTTTGATTATAATTTATTTTAATTAAATATGCCATCCTGTCAGAAGTTGTAAAACAGGTTCTTACCTGTAAGGTAGCCTGCATTGTATCTTGTTGAGACCATTTTTCTATGTGGAACAATACGAAATTAACGCATGCCATACCATGTCTAGCCAGAGTTTGAAGCCCCTGGCTTAAAGGACGAATGTCTTTGTTTTCCAAATTATACTTGGTCCAGGGTGCAGGGACCACAGAGTGCACTCTGACCAGGATATTCGTCAGTCGCTCGGAGATCGATTTGATAGACATCAAAGTAGAGTACAAGAAGCTGTTTGGATGTTCCCTCTACAGTCAGCTAGAGGTCAGTATTAACAGGAGTTATGTTATGAATTTATAACATTAACATAAACATGTTTAAATGTTAACTTTTGTTTATTGTGGTGTGTGTCACAAACACCCAATTCCTTTCGTTTATCTCTCCCCATCCTTGTGTAGTCTGAAGTGTCCGGTGATTATGGAAAAACACTCAAGTGTCTGTGTGGCCAAGACGAATAACTCGTACCAGCTCCTTTGTTGGGTCGTTCAGCTTTACATCACAGCAGCTATGATGACCTGTTCCTGACGTAGCGACCAGCTACTTATCTCAAGAATAACTTCATACTGATATGATTGATTGAACTAGTTAGGAAATGTAACTAATTTTCATGAAGTTATTAAACCCAATAATAGCGCTTAAATGTCTGACTGATATCTGTTAACTTCACTTTTCTTTTATACACACAAATATCTGTCATAACTTTTGCATTTAATAAAAACAAAAGATGAGAACACTTGTGAAAAAATAATTTATTTCAAGGTTTTGCTAATGTTGCTGTATCCAACGCCTACACAGGTCATCAGGACCTTGTCGCCCCCTTTCCGTTCGTCTTCTAAAGGCTTCTGGACCTCAATCTTGAACATAATCTGGAAGAAATCTCTGATGTGTCGGAGGAATTCGATCCTGTATAGACAGAGAAAGGAGAGTTTCATGTTAATAAAGATCATCAGCCACCACATTTCTCATACATACCAAGTTTTTAAAAGCTAAAAACTTAAAACAGGTCTTTTGTTTTTAAAACCGTAAGACTTGACAGAAATGATCCAAAACTGATTTAGTGTTACCTGAATAACAGGAAGAGTGTATTGTGATGGCACTGCCAATCTTCAGTTATCATAGTACTGTACTTGAGAGGGACACAGCACCGGTACCATGATAACTGAAAATGGACAGTTCATAGTTCGCTCCTCATTCAAGAAGACGGACATCTGGAACAAGGTTAGTGCTCAGCTATTTTTATACTGCTGTACTTTTATTTTATTTGGGTTGTTTGCAAATAAACACACAAATTATGCATTTAAAATGCAGCACACACAAATGGGTTAGAAGTAGAAGCAGGGTAACAGAAACAAGACTCATTAGACTTTATAATAATTTAATCAATACTGTGAAATATTTTATAAACTACAAAAATGTAGTTTATCAAAACATTATCTTAGGTGCCACCCATTATGAGCCTAATAAAAAAATCCCTCCAAAGCCATGTGAACCTGAACAGTTGAATCTGATTGCACATGTTACTCAAAGCAATCAAATTAAAATTGGGCTCTGAGTAAAGAAACCCTTGTGGTTGCATGCCACCATCAGAGTGCTCTTAGCAGAAACCCTGAATCTTTAGTGGAGTGGGTTAAAGTTCAGTGGAAATAGATTAATTTTGTGTTCATTTAAGAAATGCAGACTTTTTTCCTTCCTCTCTGATGATCCAGCTGTACAGAGTATTATTCAGCTTCTTATTGTGAACTTTGGGATATTGTCATCTGCCAAAAGAGGACTAGTAGAAGAATAATTAAACGTGGGATTGAGTGGGTTCCTCATTTGCCGTCTGTACATTTAACTTTTGAATGGGTCTTACGTGTATGGGGAGAGGGGTCCCAGGAGAACCTTCGACACGTCCTGTTGGCCAAGGGTCATCAAGAGCAGCGCCAAGCTCTGATTGGATGAATCCACGCAGCCGCCCTAAAACAGAGAGAGAAAGGAGGGCGGGGGTCGTGTGTCAGCAACTAAAAACTACACTGAAATGCGTCAAGGAGGTGGAAATGTTTAGAGAAATCAACTTCTTGACAGTAGGATTGTACAGTGAAAGCTGTGTAGATTTGTTTGTCTGACTTTTCATTAAAAAAACTAAACTTTTTTCCTATTAAATATAATTAAGCAGTCTTGAAACAGTTTGGCAAGTTGTCACTAAAGTGTTTCTTCTTCTTTCGTGCTCACATAATATATTAGTCGACTTTCCAGTCATCTTCCTACCATTTTCCCAAATGACACTAACACTCCCAATTCCATCTACATGTTAAATATTTAGACAGATGATGCACTCTCAATATCCAAGAGAGCACATGCCATTGCTCTAACAGAGCTCAGTGTGCGATTTCCCACTGTGTGCAATGCACAACTGGACACACCCAAGAACATTTTATAGTCTGACCTTTAAAATAGTTGTCCGCTGGTAGTTTGAGTTATTTCTTGACATGCGATATGCAGCATTAACCTGATCCGTTCTAACAACGTACTTGTGTAGCTCAGTCATGCTCAATTATGGCATCATGACAGCTCGTCAGCAGAATTTTGATTCAATTACATAATCATATCATGGAAACCATGGTGACGGTTTCATCATTTATTAGGTGAAACACATTACAATGACTTGTTAGAGGTTTACCGTTGTTAGTCTATGTAACATTTATCCCTGTGCTGTCCGCTCTGATACTGCATCTCATCTTATCCACTCTGCTATTTTACACTTTACTCTTCTCAGAGCTGCTCTGGAACAAACAGGAAAAGAAACCTAAAACTGTTTCTGAACGAACTAAGAAACATGACACAACAGCGCCATTTCTAACCACCAGTTTCAGGCCCTGCCTTCCAGAGACCGTCTCCAGAGGCCATCAGCCAACCACAAGGCCTAATGGAAAAGTCCCTTAATTCCTTTGAATGAAAGTTAATCCCTTTCCCAGCCGCTCAAAAACAGACAGTAAAGCAAATAATTGAGGGTTAACTTCTAAGCATCACAGATATATTTGACCTGAACCTGTAGATCTATATAACACATATTGATTTAAATTCACTAGAAATGATAGATTAGGTAATACAGAAATATTCTTTTTTTTCACAAGTTGCCCAACAGGTGAGGAACATAGTGTTTCCTAAGCAAGCTTATGAATTCATTAGCATTAAATGAAAATTAATGGACGCTTTCTCCACAAACCTGTTCCATGATCACCAATACAGTTAATCAGTTGGAAAACAATGCAAAAAGCAAAGACAAGTGTGGTGCATCCTGCAAAGTATACAAAAATTAATTCCATGATGAAAAAAAAGAGTAAAAATTGAAAGAGTGCACCACTTACGTCAGCTCCTGTGTTGATGCTGCTTCCAAAAACAAAATGTCCATGGAGTAACTGGTTTACAACTAGAAGACCGTACTGATTAACCATAAAACAAACAGAGCCAAACATACAGGGCACCTGCGCCCTTTGATGTGAACTGGGCAAATTTCCTCAGATTTCAAAAACAAAGTATTCCTGCCCCGCAAAATAAAATTAAATCCTTTTAACTCCAGAGTTTTCTTTTTGCTTCTCAGCTCTAGCAATCACTCTGTCCTCCTGCTACAGTTCGGTATAACACATAGCAGTAATTCAAATGATCTACCTGTTCTTCCAGCAGCGGCTAAAGCTTTTAAAAAGCCAAGCAACTTAAAGTAGAAGGCTCCTGTTAACCCACCACCCTCCAAGGAAGCTAACGAGAGATATTAGCTCTGCACTCTGTTGCCTGGAATTAAGAGGATGTAGCCAACAATATTCCCCTTTCAGAGATAATCAGCACTACCCTGATCAGCTAACTTGACTCACATGGCTCCTATGAGAGGCTGGGAGAGGCAGAACCATGTGGAGGCAAACATGATTCACAGACTCTCATTGTACGTATTCTGATGAAATGGCTTTTTCCTGTGTGGCTATGCGACGTGACTGTTTACACACAGCAAACCTTTCACCACCTTTCAACACACAGATAACTAAATGAATAAAACTAATTTTTTAGTTTTATGTGGTCACAACCATCAGGCATTTCTAATCGATTAAATCTGTTCAAACACAGCGTATTCAGCTGACACGTTACCCAATCGGTTCGTGTATTCGAAGAATTAAACAATTTATGAGCGCAGATCCTGTCATTGGACATGAGCTGTAAGTTTGAAAGAAACTGGGGCAATATGTAAATGTACAATTATAAAAAATGCTGATACCTTCCCCAAAGAATCTGCCTCTCTTCCCAGGAAGGTTGTTGCTTGTTTGTCAAATGTGTGACCCACTGCACTCTGGAGCCACAAATACTTATATACTCCGTTGTGATAATGGCCTATTGGACCCCATACTTCACCATTTTTTTTTCTTGTTAATACAGTTTAAAATTGAAGAAATGACTGATTATACAGCATTAAATTATACTTTTTACATATTGAGGGAGCTAATTACTTGATATTAAGGCAGAACCCTTTGAGGCTATTATAGATCTGAATGTACAAACTTAATTTTACCATTTTCTTGGTCTTCGGTCTAGTTTAACTTAAAAATCTAATTTGATTTCATGTCAGATGTCTCTCAAATGGTTTTCCTCAGTTGACACAGGCTGACTTCTCCTCCACAAAAAACACACCATGAAAGTTTTCATGATTACTTTTTTTTTTTCTTTAAAAACATGATGCCCTAATTAAAAGTAGAAAATGCAGTCAAGTCAAGTGCTCTAAAATCTACCTAAACAAAAGCTGCTCTCTACATTGCGGTCTGTCCACAAACAAGTTTCTTTCAGTTGAAATGCAGGCGAGGTTTATTACCAGGGAATGCGGGTAAACAAGTGCAATGTCATTGTTGCCTAATGTGTGCTGACAGTGTATCTCAGGTATTCCCCAAGAATTCAGGAGTTTTATTTCAGCAGCAGCAGCTTTTCCAACATTGTTTCAAGCCCAAATTTACTTTAAATGATAAGAGAGTCCCCAGCACAGTTATAAAAAAAAAAAAAAACTAACAAAAAGTGGAATTATGAATGAGTTCAACTTTGTAAATATAATGCTGTAGTCTTCGCAATAGAAAATCTACATCGATAAAACTAGGTGGCATGTGCTCTAAGACTGGCTTATATCTAAAAAGAATAGTGTTGGATTCACAACTGCAACAAATATATAAATATTCTACAACATTCACTATTCACGATGTCAAGCTTTATTATGTGTACACAAAGACAAACTGGGATATGCACAAGAACACGGTGCACACAGTGCGCGTGTGTGCTGCAACTTTCCCTCTGAGAGGAGTTTTTACAGACTTTACACTGCCTGGTGGGCTGTTTGATGCAAAATTGTCCAAATCCAAATTACTCACACTCTTTCTTCCATTTCATGTTGTCAACATCTGATGTTTCACTGTTAAAGCTCACATATGAGTGTCTCATAAAACTGTGATAGCTCACCACAAACGATGTTAAGAGCTGCTTGTGAGGGAGCAAATGGAAGCACATTTAAATACAGCCGAGCCCTTATGGTAATGTTTCAGTCGACAACTAGCAGACTTGATGAAAACGGGCAGAAATCAGCTTTTCCTGCTTGTGATATGCAAATAAAACAGGATAGGCTTGTTATTTTGAATGGCAGTTGCCTTTAGATCAACTAGTTAATTAAAGCACTTTCAGTTACCTGCATTATTTAGCCTTTTCAGACATTGCCAGATTTAACAGTCTGTTATGCTGACAGTATTCTGTCATTAGATGCCATGTCTGTGTATTTTGCTTTGGCTTCCTGCAAACATGTCCACAGCGTTCATGCAACACATGTCGTAACACAACATTATTTGTGCAATATTGTGAATTGTGTGCGAGTTCCCTACCTTCACACATGTGCCGAAGTCAGAGAAGACTTGCCATTACAGCTTAAGAAGCTTAACAAGTTCTAGTTAAGTATTCAACTGTAGCTTGTAACTGTGGAAGCTTTAAAGTCTGAGCTGAAGTTCAAAATGTAATCTGCTGTGACATCCTGATACAGATCATCTATACGACTGTGAACTATTTATCATCACTAAGCAGTAAACTAGCAGCTGTTTTTTCAAGCACTTAAATGTGCATATCTCTCACTTAAAAATGTGCAAGAAATAAATTGTTGTCTAACGCTGCAGGTAATACATCTAGAATTACCTGGAAGCAGCAAACCTACATCAGCTCCCCTCGAAGTCAAAAACTGCAATATTTACTTAAATCCAGTAAATATTTGTATTTGTTAAATGCTCAAAAAAATATGTTTTTTTATACTTAAGATTAGGGCTGTGCGATATGACCAAAATCTCATATCCCGATATAAGATATTTATCATCCTGACAACGATATAAATCACAATAATGGAATATTTTCTGTAAATTCTGTGAATCTCAGGCAGCTCGACTTACATGAAGTGTTTCCAGCGGGGCGTCCTTTACCTGGAGTCGAGTGTTTTAACCGATGCATGAAACTATTCATTTTCAGACATAAGTTGTAATGGCCGCCATTTTCTTTCAAAGTTTGAGTCTAACGTTTAGTTTTTTAGCACCTGGCGGCTCTTTTTTGCTTCTCATCCGTAAACTCTCTGCATACTCTTTCACGTGATTCACTTTATTTTGAAAAGTCTCAACAGGATCTTGAGCTTTATTGTGAAAGTGTTACATGAAAAAGAAACAAGCAGACAGCAGGACCACGCAATGGTTTTACCATCATTGTTGCTAACGACAAGACGTAAAAACAGGCGCTTGTCCGTCCGTAGTGTTGTTATATTAAATATAAGTGAAAGAGAGAACTTTTGGAAATTAATATAGCCACTACAGTGCCCATCAAAAAAATGAAAAAAATATTGCTGTAAACGGTTTATTTTACGTTACCGTGAAACAAACGATAGCGTAATAGGAAACGATAGACGTTTCTATATCGTCATCCGATATATCGTCGTTATATCGAACAGCCCTACTTTAGATGCACCCCCAGGATTGAAGCAGTGATGTTCAAGCTCTGTCCTGTTTGCACAAAGAAATCCTGTTAGCATATCTAACCATTTTTTCAGCCGCAGCTCAGATCAGTCCTTGTTTAATAATATCTTTTTTTTTTATTATTATTATTATTATTATTATTCTTCACAGGTTTTACTTTATACACACACACACACACACACAAACACACACACAAAATCTGGTGCATGCCTGTTATACTTTTATGTACAGCCAGGCATCAAGAGCCTCTACACAGTATTAAATGTCCATGTGTGCATTTACCCGATATATCTCCTCCAAAAGCAGTTTTGCGCAATTTCTGCCAAGGTCTTCTGGCAGTATGGGGTCTCCCTGCCCCTGTGGCGTGGATAACATCTCTGCACTAAGGAAGTAGCCGTTGAGCGTCTCTGCTACCAGTGTCAGACCAAAGCCTGGAGACCTGGGGGGTTGACCAAGTACAATGATTTAGTCCGTTTCCACAAATAAGGGTTGAGAATTAAAAACACATAGAAAACCCATGTAAAGCTTAGCAGCTTATAAATGTAGGCAAAGATACCCACTTGCCAGAGTTGGCTCCTTTCATGTGGTCAGTATAGATATAGATATCTGGAAGAAACTGGTTGAGGATGCCTCTGGCTGACTCCACAATCCTATTGCCCATCTGAGGAGAAACTCGCACTGAATATCTGTGTTTGAAATGTCAAGGACATGCCATTCAAAAGTGTGTGTTTGTGTTCCCACTTTGTGATGCAGAAATTATATCAAAATCAAGAGGCAACAAGCTAGTATTTAGTAACAAGTTCAAAATCATGATGGCTTCCTGCAACTCATATTACCAGTTATGTGTAAACTTCATCAGCAACATTGTGCTCATTTATAAATAGAAACTGAGCTAAAGTTTAAGCAAATGATTCATGAATTGATTCAACATGAGCTACTCTGGCCTTCTGTTCTGGGTTTTTTTTTTTTAATATTAATAACACATCAGTTGTGCCATGTTGATGTAATTGTAACTAGATCGGACTTATAATTGTACAGAACTGATCTCTTTATTATTACAAAAAAAATATGACTCATCAAACTAAAATGAGCACATAAAAATTACCAGGGCTAAAATGTAAAGAGGCGTTTCTGTATTTCGATCACTTTCATTTTGCTTAAGGTGAAATAAAGTGCAAGTCTAAAAAGGATACGCCACTCCCCTGATCCTCTTGATCTTGCCAGGGTCAGTCAGTTGGACGGGTCTGACGGTTTTGCGGACAGGACATGTAAACACTACTTCTCCACCCCCACCAGGCGCCATTCCTCTCTTCACCACCTGAGGGTGTAACACAAGAGACAGATTAAGATATAAGATGACATGCATGGCTACCTTATCCATCCCTGGGTTTGACTGCATCTCTACAAAAACAGAATACCATGAGGTCCTCACCTTGATGTCAAAGCCCTCTCCGTCGATCCCAAACTTCTTCATCACTGGGAGGGCTGTGGACTTCAGCAGATCGACCTGGCAAGGAACAGTGAGATTGAATCCTGACGCACACCCTTGTGCCTGCAGAGAGTTAAAAACTACCTTCCAAAACCCTAGAATAAACCCAGTCTCATCACAACAACAGGCAGACGCTGTTCAGTTTCCATGACAACACCTCTCTCCAATGTCCTCAATTCATACTTCGCAAGGCTTCCTTTTTTGTATGATATGTTGACAATATCTAATTTGAAACAATGCACCTTGAAGAAAAGGGCTGAAGAGAACAATACAGAGACTGGCTTGTGTGCAAAGGATGTGGCAAAAAAAAGGGTGTAAAAGGGGAAACCAGAGAGCAGATGCATGTTACACAACTGCCTCAAGTCAACACATGAGTGTCTAAATTATTACAAAAACATGAACCCCAGTGACATCAACTTCTGAAAATATGTGTACACAAACTGTGCGCACACCAATTCTTAAGTGAAACACTGTTGATCTTAACTGACGTATAACGTGCTCATCATCAAGTGTGCACTAGAGGGCAGTGTCCATATGGAAATGGGAGGTGTGTACTCCACCACAAAACACGCAGTTCATTTCTTTGCAGATGCACGGCTCAGCTCCACCCAGTGCGATCATGAGGTGGATGAGTTGCAACTAAATCAGCAGAGAAAAATGCAGAACAAAAGTTGGATGGTGAACATATTTATGAGCTTACCGTTGGGTCAGTGAGGTCATTGGTAACTCCCCTCAGAGTGGCCTTCAGAGGGGACTTCATGAAAGGACCCAGCATGAGGAGGGCCTCCAGATAGTACCCAATTGAGCGCTGCGGGTTACAGTCATGTTCTACAGTGCCTCCATACAACAACCCAGGCTGGTAAACTAAAACGGTACCTAAGAAAGACAGTGAATGGCAATATTTGCTAAAGTACAAATTTATACAGCACATTTTATTGCACATAAAGCTAATATACCTAACATATAAACCTCCAGGTTTAAGTCTACAAAGCCTAAAGGAGGCAAAAGTAACAAAGGAAAAAATACAGCTTAACCTACACAGTGAAGCACACACAAATTATTAAGTGTAATCCATTTTACATCCAGATATATGCTGTATTAAAATAACATACAACATACTGTACATATAAAACAAAAGCAATAAATACTTTATTTGGAAAAATACGGAACTACGACGAAATATGCATAAGATTATGCATAAGACTTTTATTAGTTACAAATCAATAATTATGAGTCAATTTAAGACATTATTTAAACCTTGCTACAGGCCCACAACTTCACTATTGGAGCATCCTTACTGCTTAAAGCTTTAAATAATTTCTACCTTTGGATTGCGAGCTTAAAGAGAGGCATAAATGACAAATATTATGGGAGAAGACTGTGTATATTAAATGCAAAAGTTCATCATGGAGTAAAACATAATAAAACAAAAAAATCTTAATTTTGATCATGCGTCAAAGTTGTCGATGAGTTGGTGAAATCTCCCCTCCGTTGCACCTTCACAGTAAACAGTCATTACTGTGCATAAAATACAGTCTGTGACAAAGGCAACACCGAAATCACACCCTCGCTGTAACACTCACCCGTTTGGTTAATCTCTATCGTGGAGCCATTGGTCAACTTGTCCAACAGTCTGATAAAATTGGCCTCAAAATCTGGAGAAGACAGAATTTATATGTAGAGACTGGAAAAAAATGTCACATGGTAATTTATTTTTTAATTTGTCTGGCACTCAAAAACAATCCACCCACAGTGTGAACTTTATTCTGACACACCAAGACACCTCAAACAACTCAAAAAACTGCCAAATCACTGCTTCGACGCCCCTTGACACGCTTATCGAAGACACAACTTCATAAGGCAAATGTACGACCACACTCGTGTCACTATCAAACTACTGTCCCATCATTTTCCCTCCTCTGACGCCCAGCGACTGAACACACTCCCAACTGCGTAACAGCTAGCCAGTTAGCCAGGGAGCTAACTGCGACGCCACATGCGGAGCGAATCTGTTAAAAACTCACCCCTGAGTCCCGGCTCGTCATCTTTAGACCTGATGTTTTTTATCTTAACGCGCTTCCCGCTGAGTGCGGACAAAACCAGACGCTGTCGGAGAAAATTGCAGCCTTCGTAGGTGAGTCCGTGGCTTGCCATGTTATTGTTGTTTGTGCTTGGCGTCAGTAAAATCCACGTGTGTTTGTCCAGGAAGACGTTACTGGGAGGGGGAGATTACGGCAAGACAGTAGGGTCAAAATAATGGTTTCTACGGCTGCGTTGCCACACTACTGTTACTAGATGGCACACTGTAACCACTGACGAACGCTAGGTGGGCGTGGCTAAATGACGCACAAATTAAAGGCACAAATCTCATAAAAAGTGTAAACAAACAGCAAAAATACGAATTTCTGGTTTGGCCTACAGTCTTTCTTTAATAAACAGAAATTAAACAAAATTAAATTACGATAGCATTTTCGAAATTATTTTTCGTTAACAGACAACAAAGTAAGGAAAACAACCAGTCGTACCATTTCTGCTAATATAATTTAATTATTTGAAAAGTCCCACGTTATTTTTTTTAAAGATTAGTGTGAGGAAGCAAACGAGTCGTCGTCCAACCTAGCGTGCCTGGGCTGCCAGCTAGCCAATCCCCTACACAAGGGATCGGCTCATACAGGATTAAACACCGCCACCTTGCCAGCAAGCTATTTATTCGACCAGTAGACAAATTATATAACGTGTTATACAATAAATACATGTCCGGTAAAGCGCAGTGTTTAAATGGGGGGTGGGGGTAAGTTTCTCAGCACGCAGGAGAAAGGAGCTCATTTTGCTCGGTGTCCGTCGTCTGAGGGGTGCATCATCTAACCTCCTCTCTCTGGCTGGCCCTGAGCCCGCTGATTGTAGTTCTCATCATCCTTCTCCTCCTCTTCCTCCTCTTTGTGCAAGCGCTGCGCAACATAAAAAGTCCACCGAGTTCAAACTAGCTGCTTAAGACGCGCCCACTCTTTCTTGCGTTGTGCAGTTTTGCAAGGAGAAGGGAGAGTGGATCTGCTCTGCGTTTCATGAGAAGGGAACACTTGTTCTTACTCGATAAAAGTCAGTTCAAACTCGCTTGGACATGGTGCTGCCAAGAGTTATCCGTGCTGTCATCATGGGACCCCCGGGGTCGGGGAAAGGAACGGTGTCTGGGCGCATTACCAAAACTTTTGGACTGAAGCACATTTCCAGTGGGGACATTTTGAGAGCCAACATAAACGCGCAGACCGGTAAGATAGTTTTAGCTCGAGAGGGAGGACACGCTAAGGCATTGCAAAAGCTTTCAGGAGTTTACGTGTCAAACTGAAAGATTTAACTTAGTATTTATCAAGCTTATTTCGCTTAAAGCCACAGCTGGTCGTTACGCACAAAGTGCGAACTTAAAAACGAAACAAGGCAGCTTTTCTGCAATATTCTGATAAGAGTCCACGCCTACAACAGTGTGATTTTTATCTGTCTGTGAAATACTAAACATAGGATACAATTTAAACATGTTGTGTCTTCTCTAATCAAGGTCAGCGTTGTCAGGTTTATACTGCAAACATTTGCGCCAGAGTTACCTGGACCTTGGAGGAAGGCCCGCTACTGCTCAATATCACCTTGGATGTGGCTGAGAGCTGTAAAGATAAGATAGCCGTGAACTTTTGCTTCATGAAAGGAGGAGTTACACATTTGAAGGGAAAGAAAAGGTCTGTTTTTACAGCTGCATGAAGAGAATCCCATGTTGGTTGATTTGGAGTGTGCGATGTGTAATCGTGCTTTAACCGTTAGTTATACTGGGAAAGCCTAAAACATACAGAGTGCAGACGTGCAGGCTTAACTTAATTCACTTGAGCATCTGCCAATCAAAGCAGTTTTTATGCAGTGTGACTGCTCGCATTTTTAAAAGTCAGACTTTTTATTTGATCAAGCGATCCCCCAACGCATTCTGCTTCTTCATTAAATCCGCTTAGAATAAAGCACTTTTGGATTTTGGTCATGAGTACTCCATATAAGTGCCGGCTGTAAAATGCATTTCCCAGCTGGCATCGTCTTTTGGCTGTTGCTTGGCAATGCTTTCGTCTGCTGTCCGAACAAGGTTCACTGTGCAGTCCAAAGAAGAAGAAGTACGAGACATTGAGTAGTCGCTGTGCCACAGTGACTTTTGCACTGTTTCTGATTAGCACAGCAGGTCATTTCTGCGAGGCTTGTCAGGAAATTCCTTTCCTCTGATGGACTCTGGCCAATTAAAGTGGAAGTAATAGAAAAAAGGCTTTCGCTTTAACCTCTTCAATTTGTATTATACACTATACCACTTTTTGCATATTAAGTGTAAATATGCTATGGTATTTGCATCATTTTATGTTTTTTACCTTGTAATTCAGCATAGCTTGTCTTTGTACATCTAACATCTGTGTGTCACTGAGTAGCTACACACACTGTTTATAATGATGGAGACACTGCAAACACTGGAAGTGTTAGAATAGCTGAAACATAAAACAGGTTTTCTGGTGTAGATGCATGTTATTAGGCTTCTTTGTCAGGCACATGCAGCCAAATGTTGATGTGGTATCCGTGTTGGCTTTATGAAGTATGGATTAAAAATTGAGGCACGAAGGGAAAATTGTACATTTTCTAACACAAACATTCTTCCTTTCTCTGTCTCATGTGTTGTTTGTTTTTTGTTTTCCTCTCCTGTTTGTTTCAGAGCTGGGGCTGCTAATGAAGTCCTGTATTGATCAGGGTCAGCTGGTACCTGATGACGTCATGTCTCGTCTCATCCTGAATGACCTGAGGGCAATAGATGGCGGCAGCTGGCTGCTCGATGGTAAGTTTTCACAACTTTGCATCAGCACTCGGTTCATCTGGTAAAATGAGTGGTAGGCGATCATATTATCAGCATTTCTAGTTAGGAATTGTTGAATTTGTTCTATAAAAAAATAGATGTAACACTGAAGGAAAGACTTAGACTTTAATTAAATTACTGGCATTGATCGCACCAACCTTGATTCCTTTTTTGCTTTGCCTAGATTTCCTCTGTCTCTTTCACCAGGTTTTCCTCGTACAGTGTCCCAAGCAGAAGCTCTGGATGTTGTCTACACCTTGGACACAGTTATTAACCTCAATGTACCTTTCCAGACCATCAAGCAAAGGTTGACTTCACGTTGGACTCACCTTCCGAGTGGCAGAGTATACAACACAGATTTCAACCCGCCTAAAGTCCCTGTAAATATCCCTTTCCTATCACTCCCTGATTTAGTTTCTATTAGATGTTTTATACCGTATTTAGCCCAGCTTTGCACACATAATTGCAAAAATCTTAAGTTTCAGATAGTCGGACCAATTTAAGTTTTATTATGGTAAATGACCTGTATTTATATAGCGCTTTACTAGTCCCTAAGGACCCCAAAGCGCTTTACATATCCAGTCATCCACCCATTCACACACTGGTGATGGCAAGCCACAGCCACCCTGGGGCGCACTGACAGAGGCGAGGCTGCCGGACACAGGTGCCACCAGGCCTTCTGACCACCACCAGTAGGCAACGGGTGAAGCGTCTTGCCCAAGGACACAACGACCAAGACTGTCCAAGCCGGGGCTCGAACCGGCAACCTTCCGATTACAAGGCGAACTCCCAACTCTTGAGCCACGATCGCCCCATTATTACTACCGTAATGCAGCATTTCATAAAAATAAACAGACATGGTGTTAGTGATGTCTGGGGCTGTAACTGATAGAACCATGAATTGAACGTCTGCCCATCAGTTTGTGAAACTCAAGCGCACTTGGGTTATGCAGCATGACAATGATTCAAAACGCACCAGCAACTCCACCTGTGAATGTCTATCACTGTACCAAAAAATAAAAGGTTTTGGAGCAGCCCAGTCAAAGTCTAGATTTGAATCCGATTGAGATGTCTTGGCATGACCTTAAACAGGCCATTCATGCCCAAACCCTCCAATGTGACTGAATTAAAGCAATTCTGCTAAGAACAGTGAGCCACAGTGATGTGAAAGACTTGTTACCGGCCATTGTGAAAGCTTGATTGCTGCCAAGTTATTGGGTTTTTGGGGAAGCTTTCACTTTTTCGCACAGGGCCAGGTACGTTTGGATAGCTTTTTTTCTTTTCCTTAATGACAGAAGTAATCATTTAAAAACTGCATTTTGTATTTACTCACATTATCTTTGTTTAATATTAAAATTTAGTTGACGATCTGGACCACATAGTGATGCGAACAGGACATGAGGCCATTCAGGTTTCTCAAATTTTCATGAATGTATATATTTGCTCAATAAAGATGTGGAAATTCAGAGTAAAGGATACCAGATTACAGGAAAAACTCCAGTATAAATCTTAGTAAGGTATTTGGCCACCACATGCTACCAGAATGACTTCAGCATGTCTTTGGAAATATGCTGGAAGGATGAATACCAATCTTCCAAGAGATATTCCCTCACTTTGCATATTTGGTAACTCTCCTAAGAGTAATGGTAAACACACTGAGAGCCTTTAATATAATACTTACTCTCTCATGTCAGATTTCCGAGTTTAACTTACTGCCTCAATCAACTGGAATTGCTTGAGGCAGCTAATTCTTTCACCATGTAAATCATTAATTTCTTGCAGAATTGTGGACCGCATGTTTACAGTGCTCCCTCTTGACCTCAGACGTACCCTTCTGGGACTGTGTCTGCTGTCCGAGTAAACTAAAGACACTGTCATATTCCTGGAACTGTCCGAGCCCTTTTTATTACAGTCTACCCTCCTGAAATGTATAACAGGGTGACTGATCCTATAATGGACGCAGCTGGTAAAAGTTGATGTTTAGATGGTGTCATGGAGCAGAGGTGTTGAATATATCTAGAGTCCTCTCAATCCTCCGACAGTCATAAAATATTGTAAAGAGTTTGGAAGTGTAACCGATCAAAAAAAAGTGTGCTGTTAAAATAAAAACTAATTGCATTAATACACTTTAATCAAAAAAATCATGTTGAAGGTCAAATTGTACAGGTTCATTAGCAACAAATGTCTGTCTGAAATGAGAATGAAATTCAGAAATTCAAGTTCCTAATAGAACATCAACTACTTCTTAACAAATAAACAACATTTATCCAGATAAATGTCAACCTTTCAGTTCCAGAGAAATGTGAGATGAATAGTTTTAGTTCAGTTGAGGATATTTTATATATGTGAAGGGTTGTTTTTGTTTCCTTTTTAGTTCACAGGTAGAAGATGAAGGGTAACTAAACATTAACCTAAGGCAGGAGATTATAAAAAGCCTTGAGAGTTGCAAGAAAAGAGTGTGAGAGAAACGTAACCTTTGTAAGCCCCACAGAAACGGACAGGTTGCATATCTGAGCACGTCAAATGGGTAGATTTCGGGCGCTGGTCAAGTTCACTGGGTAGAGCTGAGACACAGCGTCTGCCTTTCACACTATTATTATCATTCCTGACTAATAGCTTGTGGTTCACGTTTTTGTAAATCTGTGTTTTTAGTAGAAGTCGCTGTAGCTCAAAGCCTCGCAGTGCTTTCAGCACAGATGCAGACTTGTTTACACTAGCCACCTTCTAGTAATGCTCCCAGATCACTGCAAGGGGGGAAAAAGCATCCTGTGAGGTTTTGGAAAGTAAAGAAGCCAGCCTGCAGCAATCTTTGTAGCTTTCAAATTCTTAAAGTCAGAAATGTGCTTGGCAACATGGGAAATGAACTGAAGGCAGCCCCTTGACACTGATGTCTCTGTCACGTTTCATTCAACACTGATCAAACCCTACAAACGGTTGTGGATTAGTAAGATGATTTCTACTCTGTTCCAACATGTCTCATATTTTTTATGTTCCAACATTTATTGCCTAATATATCTCATTATTAAAGAGCCAGTATGTAAAAGAAGTAACTAAAACCCTCCTTTGCAGCACATAGTAAACATGCACAAAAGATCAGCATTAAGACAGATTTCTTTTATCTCTGCAGGGCTTTGATGATGACACAGGGGAGCCTCTTTTCCAGAGGGACGATGACAAACCAGAGACGGTGACACGGCGATTGAAGTCTTACGAAACCCAGACGGAGCCCGTCTTAGAATACTACAGGTAGAGCACCGCAGATACCTTAAAACTTAGTGCCAGCAGTATATGCAAAAATCTCTCTAATACTCACCAAGGGTCCAGCTAAAAGTCAAAAATATTGAACCATGACCTTTTCATCCCTGCGTATTCTTCAAAGCTGTTTGCATGACTGAAGAAAATGCATAAGAACCACATTCCAGCAGCCCTAGCCAACACTGCATTGCATTTTCTCTTTATTAAATCAGGTGACAGATGTATAAATATTTATCTTGAAAGCTTAAAACACAGGCAGGAAAATTCATGGATCTTATGTTCTGTTTCTGGGCCAAGAAAATCTATGACTGTTTCCTTAAACCACAGAGATGCTTTTATCCAGTGTCCCACTTTCCACTATAACCACATTGCTTAAAAGTCTGTCATTTGCAGGAAGTACAGATAATAACAGACTGAGAATAGAAGAAGATGCAGATTTAATGTTTAAAATAACTTGTTCTGAAGTTTAGGAGCATTGCCAGCTGATTAATAGATGTACATGGATTTCCAAGTTCAAATGCTGTTATTGAAATCTGATTTGTTTTGTTTGTTTTTACCCTCCAGGAGTAAAGGTGTGCTAGAGACCTTCTCTGGGACAGAAACCAATAAGATATGGCCACACGTTGAAGTTTTCCTTCAGAGAAAATTGTCTTCAATCAATCAAAAAGTTGAATAGAAAGCCTGAGAAGAGTTTATCGACAGAAACCACTGTGTGCATTGTCCAGTCAAAATGCCACTTTTGCATTAAACAAAGGGAGTAAAATATTCTGAATGTTTTAAAACAGGGATAACACTCATCTTACGTGTACAGGAGTACACGGCAGTAAAATGGCACTTAATACAAAACATAAGCTTATAGTAGTAATTTTTCCACAATGTTGACATTGGTTTTTGAACGTCTCAGGTTGTGTGCAAAATCTTTTAAACAGTAGTTGTTAGACTTTGCACAGATTGCCTCTTCACTCCATAGTGTGCCTTTTTATGAAGCAAGCAGAAAACTGAGTGACTCCAATATTAAGGTTATTAACAGTAAGTGAAGGCTGCGTTTGCAGAGTATAACAGCTTGACGTGTGCCGGTGAATGCAGCCAGTTTTTAAGGAAAGTGTAAAGTCTTTTCTAATTATAATCATTACTTCCTTTCTTGTTTGATTCTGATGAATAAGAATGGGCACACACTACAAGACTGACTTGTTGTTTTGTTTTTTATTTTTTTGTTTTTTTTGGGGGGGGGTTAAACATGAGAAATCCCCTAAAAACAATATGGTGGGCTCTTTATGTTTTTGCTTTAGCATTGCTTTTCCAGAACTGCCTTGCTGGGTGTGTTTTCCATGCACTAGGCAGCTACCCCAAAGGGAAATGTGCCACATTCTACAAATTACTGTAAATTCACTTTTGCACTCAAGTGCCTTTTGCTGCTTTTGACAATAAACGAGGTAGTTAAATGAATGTAAATGATTTTGATCGTAGTGGACCAGATTAAATGACCAGATCACATTTCTTATGTTATTTCTTTTTAATTAATCAGAAAAAAGCATTATTGTGGAACAGCCTCTTTAGCTAGTCTTAAGTGATGCTCTTAAATTCTGCCAGCTATTCCTTGTTGTCATTGACTGATATTAGCCATTTAATGTGAATGTGACAACTAAAAATATATAATTATACAGTTTGTACAAGGCTTCTGTGCTGCTTCTGTCTTGTTTGGGAGATGTTGCAGTACTTAAGTATCATCTGCTGTGTTGTTTCTTTTCCCTCTTGTTTTTGCACTCTTTTCTTAAAGTTTCTCCGATATTGTTAAAAGCCACAGAAATGCAAACCTACCTTGAACTGTACTGTACAGATCGATGCAGCAAATGTTTCCTGTGCGTATTCCGAAACACTTGAAGATAATGTTTGAAGGCGTATCTCCTTTCATAGGTGACTCACAACTATGTTTATAAATCATAATAAATGTCTTACCTAGATTCCTGGTCATTTTGGGTTTTTTTTATACATACGACTATAAGACAACACAAAACACCCCATCAAGCACTGTATGCAGACTTTTTCCAAAAACAGTCCTAAATTCATTGATTAGAACACAAGACTAGTCACTTTTCTCCCTCCTTTCTCAATGATTTCAATGCAAACACAAGTTTATAAATTCCACTGTTTTCATCTCAAAGACATTATTTGTCACTTCCACTTAAGCCTAGTCTGGTGTAAGTGGGATAATATCTAGAATTTGTAAATTATTTTTAATCAAGCTTGCATCAGACTGTAGTCAGAGCTCCGATATGCAACGCTGTCACTAAGTGTTCAGTTTTGGAGCAGCCTATATCTAACTGAGATGCTTTGGCAAGGGTAGTTTTCCCTTTCACGCGTTTTATGATTTCTCCCATTCTTCTACAAGTCTGCCTTTATCGTGTCATTGATCTGTGATGTGCCAGGTGTTCACTTCTGCAGACTAGTTGAATCGCTTGTAAGGTTCTCAGTTTTTCTATTTTCTTGTTTTCGTGTTGATAGGAAGACATTCAATATATAAATTTAAACTTTTCCCAACTCTTCCTGTGACTTCATTTATCTTGTGTCTCATTTTGTAATATTTAAGAAATATTCTCCAAGCTGCAAGTTCATTTTAAAGCTTCAAAGGTATGTATAAAACAAAAGGATGTAAGGTTGTTACCAGCTCATATCTTAGTACTTGTCCCTTCCCTCCAACTCTTTAAAAAAAAAAGTTTCTGACAAATTCTGAAGACCAACTTTGTTCAAAGGCTTTCATTTGCAGAATTGTCAACTAGTTTTATGTCTGCTATCATGGCTTGTACATGGGGTCCTACAGTTTTCCTGTCCTCTCTGTAAATTGTAGACTGCGTATACAAAAAAAGAGGCCTTGATTATGTTGCACAGTAGGAGACCTTTAAATTAGGTCAAGCCAAGCCTCCTACCAGTTATTGTTCTCAATGATTTTGCTCCTAAATAACTAAAAAGAACAATGAATGTGGAAAGTCAAACCCCGGCATCGACAGTACTCACTGTGCAACTTGTCTGTCGGGTTGGCAAGAAATTTGGCTGTGCTATGCTAACAGCAGTCAGTATTATGATGAGCTTCTCGCCTGCAGCAAGACGAGCAAGGCACAGACGTCTGGCAAGCACACGTCTTTCCACTCAAACCTCCTCTTTCTTTCCGTCGTCCTTGTAAATGGTAAATGGCCTGTATTTGTATAGCCTTGTCTTCAACCACAACTCCAGAACTGACTGTCTAAATATTTACTGGACTTCACAAAGCTCCCTCTTATAAAATTTGATTTTACATATATATTAGTACTCCTCAAGACCTGACAACAAACTATGATGTGCAAACTTAGTGGAGCTTCCCTGTAAGGACTTAACCACTGTTTTCGACTGTAGGTCCCAAAAGACATTAAGTACTGTGTTTATATATTTGAAGTTGTTTTTTTTCCTCTGTAGGACAAGTCAGTGTAAATGTGATGGCAGCTAGTGACTAAACTCACAGCTCACTGTAACCTGGGAAGTCGACACACCAGTGGCCACAGGCTGAGTTCAGCAAGCCTTAGCCAATTATTTTTCGTAGTTAAATATTTTATTTTGCTCCACAAAGACTACTTATGTCCACATCTAACCTCACTGCTGAGAACATATATATTTATCAACAGCACTGAGTGTGTGTATGTTACTTAATATACTTAAAAAAAGACTACTTTTTAGGGTGGGGGTGGGAGCGATCATTAATAAATGACAACGATAGCTGTGAAGCAGAATCATCAATGCATCATGAAGCAGCTCCAAGTCTGAACTGTATTTAATACACTTGATATTTCTACATCCACACACTGCAGCAAATGTCTTACTGAGCAAATGTCTACAATGTTTATGTTTTGTTAAATAATGAAAAGCATTGTGAAAGAAAGTTGAAACTTAAACAAAAAAACGAATACAAAAGCAAAAACAAAATGTCACGCAATTCATAAAAACGCATTCATAATTTCTAATCTGTTTCTTGCTGACCAAGAACAGAAAGGTGATATACATTTAGAACGCAGGATGAGACAAAATTACAAAGCAAAAGCTTTCAACACCCCACCCCTTTGTATTCGTCCGTTTTACAAAAGAAACATAAAGTGCAGGACACATTCAGATGCAGAGAGCTCCTTTCTGCAAACACACATACAGTGAAAAGTCTTTTTTTGAGAGCTCAGCCCTTTTTCGCACATCCTCAACACAGGCATCTTTCCTTCAGCTCTGGTGTCGATCATCCCAGAGCGAAGAACTTCAACCAACTCAGCACAGACAAAAGTCTGTACAAAGCACTTATGAAAGGAAACAGTTGGTTGCAACTTGGTTTCAGGAAACGAGTACAGATGCCAGGCTGGTGAAGAAAGCATAGTTATTCTCTGGCGCATCACCGAAGCAGACACAAATAAAATGCACAAAACAAATGTAAAAAGATTTTGGTAGGATTTGAAGTGTTTGGGTTGAAATTCAGTCTCTGATTACATGAGAGCAAGACAAAGGAGCGAAACTCAGCTGACGATTAGTTACCGAGTAATGTAGTGTCCTCTTTACGTCTCACGTCACGATCCGCACAATAACCGGTTGTGGTTAATTGACAATTACACTCAACACCAAAACCGGGCTGATTATGCCTTTCTAAAAAAGACAGCATTGTAATATTATATTATTTGCATCAAAAGCTGAGTGCTTTATTATCACAGAATTATTATACTGACTCACATACTATAAAGCATGCTATTTTACTCAAAATTCAACTTAAATTAATCACCACCTGTCGTCCTGAGACTCTTATTTTTGTCACAGGAAGTCCCAAAGCTGTTAAGTGCACAACAAATACTTTTTTGTGAATACACAGTATATAGTCAGTTGTAATTTAACATCTGGTGAGCTTGTATTACGGCTCAGCGTAGGCATTATGTTGTATTTGACTGATTTTTAATCACTTATCTGCAGTTAATTTATCCACATAACACCTGACTAGCATGGATGTCTCTTAACGGACGAAAGGCTTCCTTTTTTATTTTTACAAACTGTGCTGTGTTTAAGCTTCTCCAGACAACACTAAGGAATACTTCTAGGAAAACAGAACAATTAAACCATCCTCTTTCTCCCATCACATATACTGTTCCGAAGCTATAATGTGCTTTAGTCCTCCGAACCTGTCGCACCACACAGTGTTCAAAGCAAAAGATTTAAGGCCACAATGATTTCCACAGGTATAGTGTAATCGGAGTGTTGTGAGATCACCTGAACCCATGATGTTTTTCATGATTTTCTGTTGTACATGATGTTAGAAATTTGGATGAGCATATTAACCATACCCAAAAGAGGCTCAACTACTCTGAATACTCACATTAGCAAGTTTTCCCCCACTCTTGTCTCTGTTTGATATCAATAAAAGCATTTTTTTCCCTTAACAAGGTTTAGGCATAAGGCTCTAGTTGTGAACACAGAGGCCCCACCCATCTACTATTCAAATTAGGAGCAGCCAATAAGGGCCTTTGTAAGGAGCAGAGCCGAAACCTCCTGCTTCACAAAGGGGACGAAATTAACGGGCTGCATCAAGGCCCAGTTTAACAGTTCAAACAGAGCTGGAAATGAGCTTAACACATCCTCTTGGCCTATTTAAAGCAACGAGACAGACCACTCATGATGGCCTTTCTGGCTCAAAAAGAAGCAATCAGGCAACAAAAGAGCAACTGTATGATAGAAATGAAAACAATTACACCTTAAGCCATCATCCTGAATCATCCATTCTGACTGCTGATTTGGACTGAGTCAGACAACTACCCTGCCACCCACACATACTGCATTGTTCATCCTCTCCCATAATCAGCCTTACAGAACTGAAATTCATGTGCAGTCTCTTTATATGAAGATCAATCTGAAAGGGTCCTACAAGAAGAAACTGACTACAAAAAATAGGAACTTTCAGAGCTTTAACTTGGCTTAGACTTTGAATATGTTGAGTGCTGGTATACCAAAACGTTACATCACACTACAGATTTAGAAATTATTCATATTCACTGTAACTGCTCTTTGCACACTAGCGTAAAGTCAGTAGCTCTGGTTGTATGTTATGCATTGAAAATGTTAAAAATGTAAAATAAAGCTGCATATCTCACAAACTGAAGCCCTATGACACTCTATTGATAACTCAGAAACTCTCCCTCCATTTCAAACATGCTTTGTTCCTAATCACAGGTAGGTTTGTTTTCCTCTTCATGATTAAAATCAAACAATTCAGGTCACACCCGCAAAGCACTCCCCACCTTTTTTTGTTTGTTTGCAGTAGTTACTGTTTACCAGAGCAGCAGCATTGCAGTTACAAGATTTGCAATACTGTTTGGCTCCAACTGAATCTTCTTGTACTTCAGAGGGTGCAAGGACACTAACTTTCATCAGTTACTCTCCTCAGACTTGACATGATTTTTTAAAGAGTGCTCTTTGTGACCCCTGACCTCTGTCATACTTTAAGCAGTGGATTTGCTACCAAAGTGATTTTTATCCAGAGACTTTACTGGTTAAGTATTCATTGTGTTGTCTGGATGAATTCTGTTCTGCTTTTTAGTGAGGATATTTCTCTCTTCTGAGAAAGATACACACCTAGCTTGAAGAATGCAATACCTCCAACTGTAAAAACAACAGTTATGGCACAACATGCATTTAAGCTGGCAAAAGACACTGCAACAAACCCGCTTGCCAGAGGCCAACCATGCCGACATGCTAACAGCCACACAGGGAAACGTTTGCCATTGGCACAAACGTACTTTCTGCAGGCTTTCTACTGAAAACTGTGGCATAAAAGACTGAATGTCTGTTTATTCCTGCACTATGATGTTGTTGTTTTTTTTAGCCTGGTCTGCTGTATAAACAACTCGGATCGTTCCTAAACGGAGAGGTTATGATGGTGATATTAGAAAAGCAGGGGGCGGGGCTGAATCCTCTA